CATGTACTCCATGTTAATGAATACGATTCAATGAGCTCAGCATCAATGGATGAAGAATTGGTAAAACAGGAGGATCCTCATAGTGAAAGCAAAATCTGCAAAGAATTCAGAGCAAAAGGAGAATAGTTAGTGCTGAGTTAATAAAACAAGCATAAAAAATGGCATGCTTTGGGCAAGCTTTGGCTGCTGTTTATTTTCCTACAATGTCACCATTATTTTCATAAAAGTTGGAGTTGTGAAACATGACCAGTAAGCTCACCTTGATGACTGAGATGCTCAAGCTATTTCTTACCCTACTGGAGAACAAATTGACAGCAAAATACAGGCAACAAAGATTAAAAGTACAAAGCCATTGCAGCTATGAACCAGAATCACTCTGATGGTGCCTAGCTGTTTCCAGCACTATGCATGTTTCCAAATGGCCACCATTTAGGAAAACAGGAAATGATTGTTACACACTGCATGTGGTAGACCCCTATTCTTTAACCCTCGGATATTTTACATTAACACTTGTCTTAAAAGTCCCCTAAGCTTCAGGCAGCAGGGCTGAAGGGGGCAGGAGCTGCAGGAGGAAAGCGTTAGAAAGAAATTACCAAGTTTTAAGTGTACAACAAGTTTGGAGAGCAGCTTCAAAGGATCCCATCGAGAAAACAGACACGGTGCCAGAACAAAAATAAACAGAAAAGGCTGTTTAGTTATTGCTGTATTACTCGGTAGGGATAGTGCATCTAAGAGAACTCTAGCTTTGAGGCACAACATGGTGTTGATTAGTGCAAATAAACCTCTTCAAGAGTCACCTTTCAGCAATTACAATCAGATGCTGCCACTGTAGCTTCAAAAGCTTCATTAGCAATCCTTACTCCCAGGGAAAACTGCGAATCTCAGACGCCCCAGAAGTTTTAACTGACGGAGAACTATCTTGCCTCCTGTGTAAGATAATTACACATTCCCTCATCAGGATAAAGAGCATTAAAAATCAAAATAGATCCTCCTGAAGAAAACACTGACAGTGGTATAGACTAAGAGAAAAGGATAATTTTCCTGCCATGTATGATGATGTCAGCTACCCTGAAGTTTTATTTTCTCCTAAAGGAATGATATTAAAAAAATTCAGTGTATTTTAGACGTAGGTAGAAGGAAGCTATTGAGAAAAAAGATTTCTATTTTTGTTAAGATTCTCTTATGAAACACCAGAAAATATTAAAACAATTTTCTAGCAGTTTTCTCATAATCCATTGTTAAAATAGAAAAAAACGGTTGTTGGTTTTTTTTGTTTTTTTTTTTTTCTAATTCTTTCTGGGTTAAGCAGTTAGTACCACTTCACTGACTGTTAACATACCAAATGCTGGCAGGGCATTTTGCATTTCACAAAAATCTGAAATCCAATTAAATTGCTACTGAGTTTCATTTGCAGCTATTCTCTAGCTTGTCTCTTGCTGATGGATCTTTGGCCAAAGCCCACCTGGAGTCCTGCAGTGTGATTCTACTTAGGAATATGCCTGGTGACTGAAGTGACTTGCAAACAACCTGTTGACCACAATCAGTTGAGAAGCAGTCTTCTACTTATCTGGGCTTTCTGATAAAACATTCTATTCTTCTCAGGTACTGTTTCCTATACAGAAAGAAATTTCAGAATAGAGAATAATTGAAAACCATGTAAATACTATCCATAAAAAACTACATGTAAGAATGTCTGTAGACCAAATAAGCGTGAAGTTGTTAACATTAGTTTCTGTTGTGAAATTGGTATATACTCCAATCATACTTGAAGGAACTCTGGAGATCATCCAGGGCAGCCTCCTGCTCAAGGCTGGGTTAACACTGAAGTCAGACCAGGACTTTGTCCAGTAAGGTTTTGAAACTCCAACTATGGCAAATCGACTATGTTGCTGTTTATTTAACCTTGAGTGAAAAGTATTTTACTTCCATCTGGACTGAACCATCCCCATTTCAGAGCCTCTCACCCTCCTGGCAGGCACTATGGTCTTCTTTATATATTGCTCCCAGTTATCCCACTTGCAGAAGGAAGAACAGTCATTATTTTCCTGAAGCTGCTGGCTGTGCTTCTGTTAGCACAGCCTGGCATGCTTTTGACTGTCCTCACTGTCAGGCTGTGGCTGACTCATGCTTAGCCTACCCAATACAAGAAGCAGCACCAAGTTAGAGGTGATTTTAGTGCCCCTCTTGATAAATGGTACCACATGACAGAAAGAGAACATATAAGAGACTGGGAGAAAGCACTGAAGTGAATGGAAATCTGCCACTGATGCATCAGAGTTGTGGTTTCACTTGTTGACTTTGTAATAGTAAGCAAAATGTTCTGAATCTGGCTGTGCACCTGCTAAGATAAGAAGCAGGGAAGGGCAGTCCTAGATGGTGGAACCCACTTGAGCCAACTTGAGCAAGCATCATAGAATATTCACTGTCTCTACTGTTAGGCTCGAAGTGAGTCCATGTTTTACCATTTCACAATCGTCGTGCTTTAAGAGATGGTACTTTAGATGTGAATCTGTCAGCCTTTGGTTTTAGACTTAAGTTGTAATAAACACATTAGGAAATAAAGTAAAATGGAGTTTCTGTGCTTGGCTGAAGAGAACTTCTGATAAGTGTTGTCTCTAGTGAAATCACCGGTAACAATGAAGAGTTGCCAAAAATACATAAATAAATATATCTATCTCAGGAGGGGGAGCTCTTAATGAGATTGTCCTTCTCTGAGTAATCCTGTATCCAGACCACCTCCTATGAGATTACCCTTTGAAGGAACAAACCTACTGAGAAGTCATGCTGTGTTATTGAGAGAGTAGTGTGAAGCAATTAACCTCAGGAACCTCGGTGCTGATTGCAAGTAGCTGCTGGTCTGGCAAGGAAACCAATGTACCAAACCAAGCAAGGACAGAGGCAAGACATTACAGTCACACGATGCTAGACAGTAATAAAAACAAGTCAAATCGTGCTCCTCACTGTTTAAGAGAAGTGAAGGGCAACACGCTCAATTTTCAAGAACAAACTGGTTCTAGTTCTGTTAAAATGTGTTTTGGTTTGGTGGTTCTAGTTCTGTTAATTCCTGCCTGAGTTAAGACGTGAGACAAATAAACAAGAAAGCATGTCAGATTAAAGCTGACATACTACAGAAAATAAGGATAAATGTAAAAACAACCCACGGCATGTCTTTCAACACAACAGAAAATTTCCCATCTGACTTCCATTTCAGGGGTACTATCACAGTTATCCTGTATCACATATTTTATCTAGCACAGAATTTCCTCCACATATAACATGAATTCTTTTGATATAGAGCTGGCATGAGAATGACCCTAAGCAAGCTGTCAAACACGGCTCTGTGTCTGCTCTGAACTGCAGGTTTTCTAAGCTTTCATTCCACCAATGGGCTTTCATCCCAGACAATTTGAAAGTGTGACAGTTCAGGAGGAAGCAAGGATGGGTATGTGTCTTCCTTCAGGGGTAAGTAAAAGGGAGGGATAAGCAAACAAATGGACATGTAAATGGGTGAGTACAGCTAGAACTGTGAATGGAAATTTTAAGAATTAAAACCGGAACCGTACAAAAATAGCAGGCAACTGTGCACTGCAATGGTATTCAAAGTCGCCTTCAACATGTGGCTGTCTGCAAGTACCTGCCTGGCACACGTCACTTCACAGGGCTGATGAGCCCCCCTTTTGCAGCTCGGCAGCCCCTTTTCTGCCAGCCCCATCCCTGTAAGGTGCTTTTCTGGGCAAGCTATTCCCAGTACGTTGTATCATGAAACACATTAACCGTCGGTGTTAAGTATTCACACATTCACTCTGCAGTATTAATCAACAATTACGTTGTGTCTGACCTACAGCAGACTACAATGGACTGGCATTAATAACTTCACAGAAACGTAGGGGTTGGAAGGGATCTCTAGAAGTCACCGAGTCCAACACCCCTGCTAACGCAGGCTGCACAGGTAGGTGTGCAGGTGGGCCTTTAATGTCTGCAAAGCAGGAGACTTCACCAGCTGTCTGGGCAGCCTGTTCCAGTGCTCTGTCACTCTCACTGTAAAGGAGCTCTTCCTCGTTGTTTGTGTGGAGCTTCCTGTGCTACAGTTTGTGCCCATTAGCCCTTGTTCTATTGCTGCGTGCCACTGATTGGCTTTGGCTCCCCTCTCAGCATTCTCTTCCCCAGACTGACGGGACCCAGCTCTCTCAGCCTTTCCTTGTAGGGGAGGTGCTCCAGGCCCCGCTTTTTCGTGCTGGATTCTCTGCAGAAGTTTTTTGCCTTTTTGAACCGAGGAGCCCAGAATTCATGGATATCCAGGAAAGAGGAAGACTGGAAAGATAGAAATAAACATACTGGTAGCAGACAAACACTTAAAAACTATTGTCTTGCACTTTATATTTGGCCACATAACCTGGGGCAATTAAAAAAAAACCCTTAAGCACAGCTCTAGGCACTCAGTCAAGGCATTCTGCTTCTAGACCTTCCTCATCCTCCCTGCGGATGGCACACAGATGCCCTTGGGGCACTCCCCATCTCCCTTAGGAAGCTTCCAGCCGCCCTCACAGGCGCTGCTGGAACAGCCCGCACTGCAGTCCTTCCTCACTCCAGCGTCCAGAGCCGCCCAGCCCAGCGCCGAGTTACTGACAGCTCAGCCACCCCGCACGGCTCCGACCCTCCCAAAATGGCGCCGGGGTCGCGCGCCGCCGAGGTACGGCGGGGCGGGGGGCGTGGCCTGGGCGCGGCGGCCGCTCCGGTGTGCACGGCGCCGTGACCTCAGCGCGCGCACCGGCCGTCGCGCCGCGCCTCACGTGACGCAGGTAACGGTCCGGCGCCCGCCGCTCCCTCAGTGCGGCCCCAGGGCTGGCGGCGCAGGGCGGGGGTGAGGCTCGTAGGGCGGGCCGGGCGCGAGGGTTGGCGGGGGGCTCGGGCCGGGCCGTGAGCGCGGCCTGCCCGCGGGGCGCTGAGCGGAGGCCGCCGGGCCGAGGCGGGTGGTTGGACCGCGGCCCCGCGGCGGCCCCTCCGTGAGGGTTCGCTATGAGGACGGGGCTGTGCACGCCGGGTCTGTCCGTGCGGGCGGGGCAGGCGGGATGGAAGGGAGCCGCCGCCCTTGTGCCGCCCGCCGTCCGGCCTCGTTGGCAGGCTGGGCTCTCGAGGCGCTCCTGGCCCTGAAGCACGTCGCCTTGCTGCCGGCCCTTTTTCTGAGGGAAGGGGCGGTTCTGTGCCGGGTAGGTCCGTTGCCTGGAGGTGCCCCAAGGCTCGCCCTGCAGTAAGCGTGCGGCCTGCGGGTGTCTCGCAGTCCTGCTTGGTTGGGCAGTTGTGCATCTTTGTGTAGAGTGGCAGCGTACTTGCCCCTGTGTTCGCAGTGATCCACTGCAAGCTTTTGAGCATGCTTCATTGTTTATTTTCGTTTTTTTCCACTGCCGGCCTTGTTCTATTAGAAGTCTTTTATCCACAGAAGAGCTCGCAGAGCGAGTTGTGTGCAGCATATAGGAGAAAATGAACACAGTAGTGGATGAATGAGCATTTTTGTGTAATTGGGACAGGTCCTAAGGAACATCTGTTGGCACTGGTGTCAGGACTCCTCAGGTCCAAGGAGACGCAGGACTAGTGTTGGCAGTACCAGGAGAACACTGATTCATGTGCCACTGCCTTCTTTGTTTAATGTAATTTGGAAGAAAGCAGAACAAAACAAATGCTTTATTGCTGGAAGTGTCTTGTGTTTGTTTGGTACCCTCTAGAAACCTGACTGGAACAGTCCATGAGGCTGTCCATGACCTTACATCATGGCTTCAGAGTGCCAAGGTGAAAGCTGGCTTGCATCCTGACACACGCACAATACTGCAGAACTGCACTGGAGAAATTCTCACCTGTTTACAGTTTCCATTTACTTTCACCATTCTAAAGGTGCTTTGGTGCATTAAATATCATGTTCTTCTTTATTTGGTTCATTGCCTCTTTCTTATTTATGACCTGTGGTAGCGATTTAATTAATATCTTCCTTTAGGTTGTTTCTTGCTCAGCTTGATTCCCTGCCGATCACTGTTTCCATTTCAGAGTTGATTTAGGAAACACAGCAGAGTGGAGCAGTCCTAACAGCTTCTGCATGCTGTCCTGTATGCTGATTTTTAACTGACAGTCTCGAGGCTGTTAGGCCAGGATGGTCGATGAACATGTTGGGGGTATCTGATTTGCTTGGAATAATATCTGTGATAATTGTTTTATTCACCTGTGACTTTCATACCTCCAGAGAAATTATGTATTGCATATCTGTCTTTGTAGATTCTATATTAATAGTTAAAATAGTGAAATTCAAATTGGAGTTGGAGGAAATGACTGGTACCAATAATAAACTTTGTTTCGATTATGTAATGCTGTATGCAGAATTGGCATCCATTTTCAAATCTCCCTTATAAACTATTTTGCTGAGTGCTAGAAGGCAGATGCACACATCTCCAGGCAGGCATTTTAGCAAGAAGTAATGTGGAATTACATGTACTTAAGAAATTTGTCACTGTACACATACGGTGAACTGTAATACAATGAGAATGTTCATTTCATTCTTTTTTATCTCAACAAGGCACTTTAAACGAGAGCAGGTAACCCTCTTGAAACAATCTTCCACCCCCTGAGGGGTGGATTCAGTAGAGGGTGAAATTCACATGGAGTAAGGTGTGCAGTAATAATTTCAGGCAGGATGGGCGCAGATAGAAGATCCTGCTGATATCTTAATTCTTACTGTTGTAACACATGAAATCTTATTTATATCTATGAAATTATGTTACATATCTGTAGTGCCTTAAGAAAGAATTTTGTGTAGGGACAGTTTATTTTTAACTCCGTTGTCCCATTTGTTCTGAGCTTTTGCAGGACTTAATCAGCTTCCAGCCTAGTGCTAGGAGTGTTTATCTTCCTGCAATTGCGCAGGAGCTATTATCATGAGCAAGGTGTTGAGACAGGAGCAAGTCACTGTCATAACAAGCTTTGAATCTGGGAAATGGGAAGTGGCAAGTGAATATGTCAGTATAAAGACTTAACTTATTGTTAGTAGTATATAATTATTTTGTCAGTATCATTGCATGTGGCATAATACATATATTTTTTTTTTCAGCCACAGTGCTTGTGGTTGAAACTGTTCCTTGAACCTACCCCTGTTTGGTTCTGTGAGAGGTCACATCCTTCCTCAGCTGATTGACTGCAGTTACAGTTGCCAGGAGCTCCAGCAAAGTCAATGATTAGCAGTCTTGTTGATTCCCAGGGACCCTGGGCTCAGGGGCACACGGTGCAAATGGAGTTGTGATTGCTTTTGCTTTGGAAACCAGGGTGCTGTTACCAGTTACAGAACCTGGGGCATGAGCTGCTCAGTGTGGGGAATAGACGTCAGCAGCACTTCCATGGCTGTAAGTGTAGCTCTACAGACGATCATGGAGTGGCCTCTCTCCTGTCAGTGACTTCATGCCTACACGTGGACTTCGTTAAAGAAACATCCAGCCAAAAACTTAACTTTTCAATGTGAGACTGAATGTGTCTGTAATTCATTTGCTGTTATTTTTTTTTAAATTAGATTTGTTTTTGTCTTATTAATAGACTTGGATCTTCTGTTTAATAAACAAACATGAATCATATGAAGTTGTTTGCAGCTACGGTGAAGTGGCATGGCATTAAAACTCTGCGAAAGCCAGACATAGCCAGAAGGGCGTTTTTCCATGGCCAACGCTATGTTTCATCAGGAACATCAGAGCCATTCCTGAGTGGAAGTAATTCAAATTATGTGGAGGAAATGTATTATGCATGGCTTGAAAACCCTCAAAGTGTACATAAGGTGAGTAAAAAAGTGAACTGTAAATGATACTATTAGGTTGAGTAGAATCGATTTTTTTTTTGGACTTCTTATAAGGCAAGTTAAAACCAGAAAAAAAGTCTTGTATGAAATGAAAAATGTGAAACTAATTTCCCACATATTGATTGATCTGAGATGTGATATTGCAGCAAAACAAAAGTATAGAGGAGCCATGAGCTCGGTGACCTGAGATGAAAGAATGAGAAGTCCATTTTAGAAATAGTGAGCTACTCAGAAACTTTCAGCATTTTTCCATGTAAAGGTTGTTAGAGCAGATTGTGAAGTAAGTGATCAGATCTTGAGAAAGATCAAAGAAATAAAATACCTTTAATTTTTTAGCTCATCATAGTAAGTTTGTATCAGATGATACAGTAGCTTATGTTGATGTTGTTGCATTTAAACTGTCAAAAGATGAATGTATGTTCTTTCAGGTAACTGTGCGAGTCATAACCTTATCAAAAAAAAAATTCAAGGAAAGCCTTTTTAAGTATCTTGGAAAGAACTTATTCCATTGTCTCTCTCTAGGCTACAGATACTTGGTTTTTTTTGTTTTTCTTTAGACTGTTGCTGATATCCCATCTTATGGGCAAAATACATGGACTTACTCTTTAATAAGCTTTCTGCTGACAAGGAAGGCTTTCTTACGATGATACATGTATATTATTAACTTAAGAAGCAAATGGGAAGTTAGATAAATTCTAAGGCAAATGACTAATTTTCTACAGAAGCAGTATGAAGCGTTTTACCGAATTGGTTGTGCGTTCCCTTATTCTTGAGGCACATACATCAAAATATCACTTAGAACTTGATGCTGTAGGTCTGAAAATTCATCTAGGAATGTGCAGGATGGATAATGTGTAAGTGATGCATGTTGAGAGGAAGAAAAGCGACCGAAATAAGCAGTTCTGGAATTGTTTTTTTTTTTTTTTTTTCTGAATCTTGAGTATGATCTTGTGTTGGAAGATGAAAAACAGAGTAATGAGTCGTAAGACTGAATGTTGTTCCAATAGCAGCCGGGTGCCTTTTGTCTTGTTCCTTAACTTGCAGCTGAAGAGACCTTCTCCAGGGGTGGCTCCTCCTCTCATGCCATTTCTCTTTGATTCGTCGTCTTGTCGCTGCCAGTTACATCAAAACCAGTGTAGAGCAAGGCAGCGTGTTGTGTGAATCTATTGAGTGTAATGTATGAGGCCTTCATCTGGTATTGGTGGTATAGTTTGTTATCAGCCCTTTCATTGTGAGCAAGCTGTGCGTATGAACTCATCCCTCAGTGCTACGTGTGGTGGCGTCTTTATATAGATATGTATTTAAGTTGCATCAACTCCTAGCAACCTTCTTTCACTGGGAGGAACGACCTTTCTCCTTCAGACCCTTTACAGCGCGGCCAATCGTAGTGCCGAGCCCGGGCACTCGCCGTCACCTACCGGAGCGCCGGGAGCTGTCCGTGGTGCTGAACGGTCTCGGCCGCCGTGTCCCCGCAGCGCGGGAGCCTCTCTGAACCCACCGCCCTCGTAGCGGAGCAGTAATGAACTGAATGAACTATGAGTATAAAACTAAATGATTGACAGAATTACTTTACAAACCTTCACTCTTAAATAATTGTGGTTTTTTTATGTTGGTTTTTTTTTTTTCAGTTGAGGGAAGAGATTAATGCTGTAATCACACATAATTTTTAAATTTTAATCAGTGAATTTCATTTTTGATTTCTTGTAAACTGCCTTTATTGACAGAAATTGTTTAGATGAGCCTTTGAAGAAAACAAAATGCTGAGAACTTCAGTCACTTTGTTTTCTTAAAAATAAGGAAAATAAATGCCATAGTTGTATGTGTATCTGAATCTCAAGTATCATCTTGTGTTTTTCATCTTCCAACACAGTAATGAGTCTTAAGACTGAATGTTGTTCCGATAGCAGCCGGGTGCCAGGCCTTTTGTCTTGTTCCTTAACTTGTAGCTGAAGAGACCTTCTCCAGGGGTGGCTCAGTTTCAGTTGTATGTAAGGTGAATTTCTGTTTTTGTTGTTCTGTTATAGAAAATGGTGATTTCATTATTTATCCATTATATCCTGCATTGTTCAGAGACACAACTTGTGTTAGGCTTTTAAATGTTACATTCGCCTTCCTTTTTTTTCCTCATGGGTAGTTCCGTCTTATCGACAGAGATGTTTCTCCTTTATAATGAGCTGAAAAAGGTTTTCTTTTTTTTTCCCTTGGCTTTTAAGATCACATTATTTACTTTTACTTAAAAACTCCAGTTAGTCAAGGCTCTTCAAGTTATTTCCCCCTCATTGATTAGGTATGTCTTGCTATGTATGTTTATTTGAAAGCGTATTTAAAACATTTTTAATCCTAAGAATGCCTCCTTTCTTTATATACCATGCATATGTATTTGCTAATATATATTTATTTCATAGGAGCTTCTATTCGTTGTGCAAATCAATTCCTGATGGTTTCCTGCTCTTCCTTGTCTTCTGAATTTTCCTGTCCTTAAAGTAGCCAAAACAACAATCAGAGTAAAATAACGTGGGCTTTGAGAAAGGCATCATTATTTCTGCTTGAATTGTGGTGTCAGAGCCATAGATCATAAAGCAGAAGCTTGACAAGGCTCAGTTATAACTATCACAAGATTAATTACAAATTGCATGGTTGGATATTGAGTACATAATGTCTTTCATATTATCCTGTATGCAGCTGCTTTACCTTGAGCATGTAATCACTTTTTTTGTTGTGCATACTTGAAAAAAGCGTGGTTTTCTTCCTCTGTTTGTTTTTTATGTAGTGATGCTCAGTGTGTCTTTCTAAGGATTTACTCTCTTTAGTGCAGTTGATAAATATTATGTCACTAGGGGAAAAAATAAACATTTTTTCAAGGTAACAGATGTTTTAGTTGTTGAAGTGTAATGCTGTTTATTATATGAGTAAGATATTGCCACTTAATCACTTGAATTGTATGGCGTTAATTGAGAAATTAAAATAGTGGTTAACTGCAGTAGGGATTTGCTGTCAGAAAAAAGGCAGAAGAATGTATCATGTATCATTTCTGTGCCACTTTAGATTTTTTATTTTTCCTCATAGATGTGTTCTTCTGTTATAAGTTCTCCCTCTCACATTTTAAAGAACATCACTAATTTAGTTGAGAACCTTTAGGTACGCTGTGAGACCAAGTTTATCTTGTATCTTTTCGGTCACTTGGTAAATGCTGTTGCCAGAAACTGGCATTGATACACAAGACTTGAGGACTATAATCTGGTATCAATCTTGAAAGGCACTACAGAGATTTTTAAAGGCTTTGATGGATGTATGTCTAGAAAAAACTAATTTTCTGTAGCCAAATGATGTATTTTCCCTCCCTTCTGATTAAATGTCAAACTGGCTCAACAAATCAATAAGTTCAAAAACACGCTAAGAAATAGTGTAGTTTCCTTCTCTCCTAGCTGTCGGTGTCTTCATATTTAAGCCTTTTGAAAGTATTTTTTTTTGTTTGTGAATTGGCACGCAGAAAGGTTCCTGTGTTTACTCTTAACCCAGTAGCTTCTTGGGCAAATTTGCTTGGATTTTGTTAGCAGATGTCACAGCAGTCCACTAGTTTAATATTCAGGTTTTCTGTGGGACTCTGCTGTGGTAACTTTTAACACAACAAAGAAATACAACCAGCACTGCTGGGAAAAGAAGAACCCTGAGATAAGCAAAAGACATTCTTTATTAAAACTTTGCATGAATGTCAGGTTTGTCACGGTTCCAAATGTGTGTTTGGAACTTACTAAAATAATGAAAATCAATATCTGTATTGACAAAATAATTCCTGCAGTCTACGTAGCCTTACTTTCAACACAAAGATATTGTATTGGTTTTCCATGGTCTGAGACCTGCAATCTCTCAGACCATGTGCTGTATGGGTCTAGAATAACAATATGGTTCTTAACATGGAGTAAGGTATATAGACAGAATACCAGAGGCAATACAGTTACACTAATAGACTCTTGAAGGCCGTTTATAGGATGTTACATAAATTTGGACTTCTAATCTAATTGTGACAGGTAAGGTGTGAAGCAAAGAAGAGTAATGGTGATAAGCATGACTTATTTCCTAAAACTAACCATCACATATGACCTGCCTGTCTTGATTTGCAACAGCATGTACAAATGAGACTGCGTTACATCAAGCCTGCGTAAGAGGAGGGTGAATAATTAAATATGTTTATCATATTTGTAGCAATGTAACTTCATATTAATAACAGAGTAAAAGAGGTGCCTTAGAAGAGTTTCTTTCTGGCATTGTGCTCATGTTCGTGAGGAAGTTCCTGTTCACAGGTTCAGTGAGTGCTGAACCTACTTCTACAACTGAAATTTGGAAAACTGAGTGAGGTTTTGCCCCCATAGGTTGGCCCGCTCGTAGTGTTCCTGAATACCTGAAAGCCTGCAGAAATATCAGCATGAAGACTGTCTTTATTAATGAAAATATAATTTTAAAAATATTTTCTTGTTGCCTAACTGGTATTACATAATTTTCTTTCCTTTGTGTATTCCATAGTGAATATTTGAAGTGGATTATATAAAAATATAGATGGAAGTAAAAGGATTTTTAGTTTTAATTCTGTTTCTGAAATGTTGAAATGTGTATTCTTCTGAAGTTGTCACCTGCAACTGAAACCAGGGCCGTGATTTCTTTTATAGTAAGGTGTCCTGAGCTAGCAAGGAAGGGATCTTTGACCAAAAGCCTCACTCAGCAGAGCTGTAGTTGCTTTTCAGTGGTTTCTTCAATAAAAGTTCTTAAGGACTGAGTCAACATATTCATTGAGTATTTTAAGTATCATGAACTACTTAAGTATCATGAAAGGAATGGTTTCATTTCAGTTATTAAGGTTTTCAATTTTAGAAGCTTGATAACTCTTTATTAACAGCACAATATTATATCTGTTACTGGTTGTGTGAATCAGCTTTGCCATGAAAAAGAGCTGTGTGAATGAATAACGTATCAGGGTGCTTTGCATTCATATGTGCTGGAGTTTTCCACTGAATAAGCTTAGTCTAAGAAGGCAGACAAAACGGCTTCTATGTGAACAAAAACATGGAGATGCTGCAAAGGTGTGGAACATTCATATATTGGACTTAATGACCCTTCTGGCACCCTTCCAACTTGGTATATTCTGGTCCCTATCATTCTTATGATGTTACAGAGGCAGAAAATACAGAACTTTTATCCTGCATTGAATATGCTCTTTTGTTGCTGTTAGTTGTACTTAAGACTGTCGTGCAGTGAGATACAATTAGTAGCTTGAAGCTGCTGCTTTTGATTGAAATATTCATCTGAGGTAAGGAATTTTCTTTCTTCCTTCCTTCTCTGTACACATGTCCAGTCTTGGGATTTGTTTTTCCGTAATGCAAACGCTGGCCAAACGTATGATCCTCATCTACCAGATCAGTTGGAAAGAAAGGCATCATTTCTTCAGAGCCATGGCCTGGCCCAGACACCGGGGAAAGCTGAAAAACTTGTTGAAGATCATCTTGCTGTGCAGTCTTTGATAAGAGCATACCAAGTAAGTGTACTGAGGGAAAGATGTGAGAAGTTCATTCCTTTGTGATCAACCTTTTCCTTCCTTTTGTTCTTCTTCTGATCTTAACATCTGCCTATTAAGATTTTTTTTCTCTCCAGCTCAGTTAGTTACTGACCAAACTGGAATACTAAGTAATAATTACCTGAACTAATTTTGTGTCTTATGAAGAGAGAGTATGGCGATACTGATGTTCAGGTGTGTGCAATAAGGATTGTTCAGATGTGTGCAATAAGGGCTCTTCCCACTCTTCAGCAACAAATCTTTCCACAATTGAAGTCTGTCTTGAACTGGAAGCTGTTACAGTTTTAAATGTTTCAGTCTTCTGTAAGACAGGAGGAAATGTGCTTACCTTCTCATGCATCCAGTGTGAACGTTGAGGTTTTTGGTATGAGTAGGATTATTTGTAGGGAAAAAGAGAGGAGAAATAATGAATGAAGCAGAGACTGAATTTTGGGAGGCTGAAAGGTACCGAGTTTAGGTCAGCTTTGATGAATTTCTTTTAGAGAAGCTATTCATCAAAATTGACTTTATTTCACACTCTGATTTTTTTAACCCTTTTATTAAATTAAGAAATAGTGTAATTTCCTTTTTCCTCTAAAAGAAAAAAGGATTTTGGAAGTGATGCAGTGATTTTGGTTACACGTTTGCTAAGTCTAAAACAAGTTTAAGTATTTCTATTTGGTCTTGTGTTTAGTATCTTAATTTCACTAAGGGCTTAAAAACAGTGTGAAAGCTTCCTTTTCTACATATATTGCGTTGTCACCATTGATTCAGATATGAATCCTTTTAATCCAGTTTTTGGAGAAATATTGTAAGGGAGTAGAAAGGCTCGCGAATGCAGAGAAAATACAGAGCTCACTTTGAAATATCTATGTGGTAAACAACTCCTTCAGCCTCTTAACTTTTGCTTGCAATAAAATTTTGTTGAAGAATTGGAAAAAGTTAGGGTACGTGAAGCTACTTTGACTTGAAACTCTTTAAGGAGTTGCTGTTTCCTGCGTTTGAAAGTGTGTGTTATCTGACTGAAGTGATGGAATAGAAACGTCTTTACAAATGGCAGGAACCTATGTGTCTGTGACAGACAATGAGAGAGGATTACCTAAGGCAAGTGTCTGTTTTTAAAAGGTATTTAATACCCTCTAAATTCAGTGTTGAAGGGATTAGATCAATTTGTGACCTTCCTTTGCCTGATAATGAAATGAAATTGAGAAAGATACAGAATTTTCATTTCTCAGACCTGTCACTGTTTTATGGTTTTTGTGGTAAACTGCTTTGTGGTCTGATGAGCAGATCTTCTGGAAAGGCAGTTAATCTATCGCTTTTCTAATGTAAAACACGGGACACAATGAAGGGATTTCCAGTGGAAAGTGGGTGCTTAACAAAAATGAACACAGACAATAAAATGATTTTAAGTTTAATATCCTGGCTCCTCTTTTATTTAATTATTATTTGTTTGGGATCTGTGTCTAGAATGGTATTTCCGACTCCTGCTTTGTTGCACTGTGATTTAGTGAGATGTCCGTGAAATAAGCCACTATTTTGGTACAATTAATGACAATTGTATTTTAATTTGAAGCTGAATTGGATGTGAGGTTTTAAGTTTTATACCCGTGCATAACAGTCATGGACTTTCGTTTGATGTTTGGAGCAGATATTCCAAAAATTCAGCTAGGCACTGGCACAGAAGCATACCTTTTGGCATCCTGTCTCCACCATCAGTACTGACTCAGGTGTTTTGGCTTGGTCCCTCTGAGTTTGTGTCTTCAGACCCTGCATTTGGCTCTTTTAAATTCAATATCATTTAGCTCCTAACCAATAAAACCAGCTCAATTAACACATACATGTTAGCACCTCTGCTAAATATTCTCTGATTAGGATGTGGCAAATGAGCTCGTGTTGAAAATAACTATATTCATAAACTCTGTTTTCATAAAATAATACAGAATAAAACTAATTAGTCTTGTTGAACTTGGTAGATCACACAGCATGGCAGTTCATGATAGATAAGGGATAATTTCTCTTAAATTTTTTCTCTTCTTGTAAGATACTACAAAAACTGCAGGAGTAGCCATATCCATTTGGCTTTGTTTCCTTTCATTTCTGTTTTTTAAACAGAGCTTGATGCTGTGGTTACTACAGAAAGCTTTCTGGAGCCGTGGAGGGTGGTATATCCAATGCCTCTGTAATAGCAGGCAAACGCTTGGATTCTAGAAGTGTTAAACTGAAAAAGAAAAGTATGACTTTTGTTAGGTTTGAGAAAAAGAAAAAAGAATCGTTAATTTTTGTTCTTGTTATGCCTCAATATCTAGTAGCTGATTTTTGTTCAAATTAGTAATGCATTTCTCTTCATGTTAAAAGGTCTGCAACTGAGGAGGAGAGTACAAGTACCCAGTCTCTGAAGTCCCTACTCTGAAACAGGAAAAATAACAAAACTTTTTAGCCATGAGCTACAAAATTACTTTACAAATGATAAGTCATAGTATAGTACAGAAATACTGTAAATTTCATTTGATGGTCACGGTTGCTGCATGCAGTTATATATATATATATTTTAGCTGGATGGCTTTGTGATGCTTTGCAAATTGCCTGTTAGATGTAATATTAAGACAGTATTTAATTATTTCTTAGAAACACTGACAACCATCAGTCATTTCTATTTGCCTGTTTCACCTAGTTTTGTTCAGTCCAATAAGATGAAATGTGCAAACTGCATAAAATTGATTGTGCTGAGGGGTATCTATCAGGGAACAATCTACAAGCCATACTTAGAGGAAATGCTGTCCTCAGCAGTAACTGCTATGTTATTTAGAAGGTCTTCTGTACTAACTCTTAATGTGAAAATATTTCCTGATCTCGACAGGATCAGGATTTAGCCCTTGCTGTTACCTTTTAATAACCAGGAGTCACTTGTGTGAATGCTTTTGACTTGAGAAGATGTGTATATTTTCCAGATTAAAGAATTGTATGATTCAGGAGAAGACAGATTTGCGAAGCTTGGAAGTGAAGCACTTAGAGACTGTTTTATCTCGTCTGATTGAGCTGCAAGATCTACCTTGCTTTCTTGCTTGTTTGCATGTGTTTGCTCATGTGTGCTCAACTATCTCTTTTAACATGTTTGCTTGTAATTTTGTGCTGGCTCATCCTTTACCCTCTCCTTCACTCTTACCCTCTATCTCTTGTGAAAACTGGGCACAGTGGATATTGTGTACTGTGTTTTAGTTAAAGACCAACTGCTCCTGCCATGTAATATGGCACAACGCTTTACTGATTTGCTCTTCTGGGTTTTGGCATTCTTGCTAATAATCTTCTTCCAGCAATACTGGAGAGCAGATGATAGCTTAGGGAGGTGAATTCTTTCCTGATGATGCTGGAGACAGAATTGTTTGCTTAGTTCCAGTCAGATAGACTTTGTGCTGCTGTAAACAATGAAGTGGCACAGATGTTGCCGCGGGCATCATTTTGCCTGTCAGAGCTTTATTACTGGTGATTCATGAGATGCAAAGAGTCTCAGAGGCCAGACTGAATTTGCAGGGCTGGTGGTTCTAAATAAGATGCCTTATTTCAGTTTGTTTGCTTATGAGTGGAATGGCTTTTGTTGTGAAATCTTCTGCAAATACAGAACGTCTGAATATTTTTTTGTAAGTCACTTCTTATAAATGAGCCACCCTTTAATCCCTCTCTATTACTCTGTGATTTAAGTTATTAATGTTGCAGTTTATTAATATAAACAGATTAATATTAAGATATTAGCAGTGTGAATGAAATTCTACTCTCATGATCTGAATTTCTCCTTGAAAAGTAGTAAGGAGAAGGTAGCCATATCCTCATCAATTAAAAGTTTTTAATGAGGTAATTTGGTCTAGGAGTCTCATGCATAATAGAGATCGTATAGAAAACAAAAAAAACACTCGTGTGACTTAATTGAAGTTACTTCTTCTACAGTATTGCTGTGTGTTAATATAAGGCACTAATCTATAGCAACTTGTGGTGCACATTGACAGCAGCAATCCTGATAACTGAAAGCTGACTAAACTTCCCACTTCCTGTGTGTTCTCTAGTATCTTCAGTATCATTCATATCATGGACTAAATTTCCAGAATTTCTCAAATGAAAATAGAGACTGCTATGTGATGTGAAGCAGGGCTCATGAAGACTGAACTTTTCACTCCTGATATAAAATTATTTTTCATCAATCCATTTTTTAAGGTCAGTAATACCATATTTTGGTATTCTGCATCTGCTCACAAGAAGATTCAGGCATAAATATAAAACAACTGAAGTAGAAAATTATTATACAAATTATTTTCTGAACTTTATCCGGATGTTGAGATCTTACCATTTATATCAGTTTTCTTTATTTATATTTCTGTCTAATTCTACTTGAATGCCAAACAAAAACCTTGCATTCTAATGTGTAGTCTACAGTTATTAATAGGGATAGTAGAAATATCTGGAGATATTAATAATGCTTATTTTTTGTTCTTTAGGGGCAAACTTTGCAACTCTGACTCTCTCTTGACATTAGCAGTGTTTGCTTGTTTTGACTTCACGGCTCATCTACGCGCTTTGGAGAGGTAGTGGTGACTTATTCCCTTCGTCTGAGTTGAATTAGCTTGATTTTGTTTTTCTGTCACTTTTTGTTTTCAGATCCGTGGCCATCATGTGGCTCAGCTAGATCCTCTTGGGATTCTGGATGCAGACCTGGATTCGTTTGTTCCATCTGACTTAATCACTACAATCGATAAACTTGGTGAGTACACAGCGTACCTTGTTATTTGCAATGGTTACTTGTCTTTTTTCTATTTCCTTGGGCTGAGGTGATTGAATAAGACATTTCAGGAAGGTTTATATCTTTTTTTGCTTGATGGTATCACAAAATAGTTAGATATTTGAGTCTCTGAAAGGAGGCTCAGACTTCATGAAGATAAAATTTCTATGCTGAGGTCACTGGTAAGGTTGCTGTGAGTTCACTTTCTGATGAGTAACGATTATAAACATAAATATATAAATTCTTACATTTTTTTAACACTAGTAACGATTACTAATCAGTGCATCAGACTAAGTTTCTGGTGACCTAAATCACTTCTGTGCCTCCATGCTTGGTAAGTTTTTTTTTTTTTTCATCCTGATTAAACTTCAGATGTCCCCAGTCAAAACAAGAAATAAACAGAATGGTGGATAGGGGAACATGGCAGAAATTTCACAGCTAATTGGATTCTAGCCTCTGGTATTTATCCTTTCTGTTACACTTGAAGAAGCAAAGTCTGAAATTATCAGAAGAAAGCATGGGAACTACAGAATTCATGAATTGTATGTAATCAAACAATGATTATTTTAGTTTGCTGGAAGAATATAATAAACAGGAATCTGCTTTTGAGAGGGTTGGTAAGGATGAGGGTTTTTGCTTGTTAAGAGGGCATATTTTTTAGAAGTAGTACCGACTGTTTTTTTTTTTTATTCCTGTTGTACTTGAATAAAGAAACATCTGATGGATTTTTCTCTACTCTTCAATATACCTGGTCTGTTTGAAAGGTGGTATTCTGCCTGGTAAGGACAGTGAATCAATTTTTCTTTGATACATAGGGAAGCTTTTTGAACTAGTCATAAAATGTGGTGCAAGAAGCAAATAAAACACGTTCTGCTTAGGTTTACTTTAAGTACATCTGCTGCTGCTTTGTCTCTGTGTTCTGTTTCTGGTGGCACGAAAAGAAGCAGTTCTGATCCTTGATCATACAAAAGCAGTGGAGTGCTGAAGTCTGTAAACAGGGAGGTGCTTACACAAATCAAGGTTCGCTGTGAAGTTTGTCAGCCTTAAAGAGAAGTAACTACTAAAAATAAATTGGATGCATACTAACTGAAGATAATTTGTTCAGATCATAAATGATTGTTGCAATGTCAATACAGATTACTTAAAATTTTACAGATTTTACAATTTAGTGCAGTGATTGGGCAGGAGAGATCATGCTGCAAGCTCTGTGAGCACAGGAGAAACATGGTAGGAGTCTGAATGATTTGGGAAGAATGTGTCTGAGATCTTAGTAACTGAGCTAAAATTTCCATAATTAGGTTAGAAATTATCTTACATGTTGTCTGTCACAAAAATCTTAAAACGTTTCAGGCAGAAAATGTAAGAACAGCCTCAGATAGTACAGAAGGTGTTTTAATGTTTCAGTTTCCTCTGCATTTTCCTTGTCACAACTTTCTGGTAGGAAGTTTCTTCTGGGAGTTGCTTTTAAAATGCAGGTAGTTACGGGTATACCTACTGCACATTCAAGTTTTAGAATTGCTGAGGAACTCTTCAATTTCACTAAGATTATGGCTCTTTAAGTATGAAGAGATGCTTCTGTAAATATGCAGTGCTGCAGTACAAAGCACAGGTGTTCTTTGTGTGCCTGTACATGCTCTGTTTTTTTTTTTTATAGCAGAGTATGAAGAGCCTGTGAAGTCTGGCAGACAGCAAAGAAAAAGAATATAGAATGGTAGCAGTACTGTATAGTAAAAGTCTTGCAGCACAGTCCTTTGGCCTGATTCCAGCTCTAAATACTAACTTCTGAAGTTATTTAATCTTTAATAGCCTTTTTTAATTTTGTATCATAAAAAGTAACAGAGAACACAGTACTGTTATATGAGGTTTTCAAAGTTGTGTGTTGGGTTTCAGATCAGTGTTTAAGTGGATGCCTGCAACTTTTCCAGAATAAAAGCAAACATTTTAAGATTATATGTATTTTTTTCATTAACAAGTCAAGATTAAACATTGTCCCATGGACTCTTTAACTTGCATTGATGCCCGTCTTGTCTGTGCTGTATTTTGGCTTTTGAAACTGCATGATAGTTAAATATTTTCTTTAATTGTATTCTAAGCCACGGATTTGTATAGCTCTAATTCTAGATGAGATGATACTTCTGAACAACACTTTGTTTTAGTGGGGTAATCTGCTTTATAAGCTGCTTTGGAAATAGTGCTGTACAGGTCATTTCAGTGCTCTCTGAAACTAACTTCCCCATGAAAAGACAGGGGAAGAAATATCTTGATAGTTCTACAAGAGTGTTTGGGCAGAGTTGCATTGAATGCGTTCTGTTATTTTAATTATTAATATTGGATAAATCAATCTGGTAGGCATCCAACCAACCTGTTAACTGTTTCTTTGTGTGAAAGCTCGTTCTTTTTGGTTTGGTTTGTTGTTTTTTTTTCCCCACAAGGAAGAGATCCTGATCATTACAATTACACTGATTATTACAATTATGCGTTCAAGGAACGTTTGGATTTTGTGTTGAGGGATATGGTTTAGTGAGTATTAGTGGTGATAGGTAGATGGTTGGACTGGATGATCTTGAAGGTCTTTTCGAACCTTGGTGTTTCTGTGATTCTGTGAATTACTCATATCATCACTTAATAGTGAAGTACAAAATACAGTACAGAGTGTCAGTGAGTCAGTGGCAGTGTTCAAATGATACAATTTAAAGAGTGTTTAAGAAAGAATGATTTGTAACTTCCAGTCAAACAGTAACTATTTAATGAACGCATTTCTTTAAAACACAGAGTGAAGTGCATTATAACAAGGAATGCCTTCAAAATATTCACATTTTCACTTCTTAATTTTTCTCAATATTTCTTTATTAAACTTCAGTTTGTGGTTGTTTGAAAAATAATTCTGGTTTCCTTTTTGCCTTGCACCTTCTTTTGCAAATTGATAATGGCACATGTTTTAGGGTTTTATGGCTTGCATGAATCAGATTTGGACAAAGTCTTTCAACTACCTACAACCACCTTCATAGGAGGAAATGAAAACAGTCTTTCTTTACGAGAGATCATCAAACGGCTGGAGGTCAGTATGACATCTTTGATTTGTGACTTGTTTTCATCCCTGCGGAAATGAACTTTTTCCAACTGTAAGTCACAGAGAACTTATTTGTCATTTATTAATACAGCACGCGTAGAATTCAGATGACAGAAAAAATGACTCCTGTGCTGCTTTTAGGGATGATAGTTCCATTAGTTTCATCTGAAATACGTAGATGAAGGATAAGTATGAAAAAGGGAATATGTAGAATACTAATTCAGCCCACAGTTTTGCAAAAAAAGAACTTTCATTGATTGAAACCAGTAGAACCTTTATAATTTGTGTTTATTTGCTATCACATATTAAACACTTGCAAACAATACTTGGATGTGCAGGGATTTCTCTTGGTGTCTTGTATTCAGTGAGACTTTTATCTCAGTAAAAAATAGGAGAATTGAGTACCAAATTGATGAAAGCCCAACTGTAGTTTATAGATGGTGTCCTCTTCTTTGACTTTTGTTCTCTGACAGATAATACAGCTATGCTATGTGAAGTCATCAAAGATAAATAATTTATATAAATGTACATAGAGGAAATTACAAACAGTAAGTAGATCTAGTAGTGAATTTGTGAACTACTAAGCTAGTAGACATGGAGTGTTCTTGACTGCTTTTTTCGGGATTTTATAGTGCTGAAATAGTAGAGATTTCTGTTGCATGGCAGTGAAATCAGTTGCAGTAGGTAGGGCTAGGGGTGAGGGCATGGTTTAAAAGGGTAAAATAGAGAACTGAATTATGAGTAAGCAACATAAATAAATAAAAAATAAATACTGAGCATATAGGAATTCTATGCTTTAATCTGCTGAAGTGTAAGAGAATGTTTTGGGTTGCACATCTGACCTACTGTTACAGCAACTTGTCTAATGCACAGACACAATGTCTACTGTGTTTGCTTTGGAGCTCAAAATTTGCTTTTTTTTGTACTTCCAGCATGTCTCTGCAGTAA